GCATCTTGTTGTTTCACGTACGAGACAGAGGGTACGATTTGTTACGGTCATTTGGGTTTGCATCTTGTCATATCACACACGAGACAGGGCGTACGAATTGTTCCGGGCATTGGGTTCTGCATCTTGTGATATCACTTACGAGACAGGGAGTACGATTTGTTGCGGGCATTGGGTTCTGCATCTTGTGCTATCACACAGAGACAGAGGGTACGATCTGTTACGGGCATTGGGTTCTGCATCTTGTGATATCACACACGAGACAGGGGGTACTATTTGTTACGGGCATTGGGTTCTGCATCTTGGGATAATACAGACGAGACAGAGGGTACGGTTTGTTACGGGCATTGGGTTCTGCATCTTGTGCTATCACACACAAGACAGGGGGTACGATTTGTTACTGGCATTGGATTCTGCATCTTGTGCTATCACGTACGAGACAGAGGGTACGATTTGTTACCGGCATTGGTATCTGCATCTTGCGATATCACGTACGAGACAGAGGGTACGATTTGTTACGGTCATTGGGTTCTGCATCTTGTGATATCACATACGAAGTAGGGGGGTACATTTTGTTACGGGCATTGGGTTCTGCATCTTTTGATATCACACACGAGACAGGAGGCACGATTTGCTACGGGCATTGGGTTCTGCATCTTGTGATATCACACACGAGGCAGGGGGTACGATTTGTTACCGGCATTGGCATTCGCACCTTGTGATATCTTACATATGACAGGGGGTATGATTTGTTACGGGCATTGGGGTCTGCATCTTGTGATATCACACAAGAGACAGGGGATTTATTATGGGCATTGGGTTCTGCATCTTGTGATATCACACACGAGACAGGGGGTACGATTTGTTACGGGCATTGGGTTCTGCATCTTGTGATATCACACACGGGACTGGGGGCACGATTTGTTACTGGCATTGGGTTCTGCATCTTGTTATTTCACGTACGAGGCAGGGGATACGATTCGTTACGGGCATTGGGTTCTGCATCTTGAAATATCACACACGAGACAGGGAGTACGATTTCTCACGGACATTGGGTTCTGCATCTTGTGATATCGCACACGAGACAGGGCATTTATTACGGGCACTGGGTTCTGCATCTTGTGATATCACACACGAGACAGGGGCTACGATTTGTTACGGGCATTGGGTTCTGCATCTTGTGATATCACACACGAGACAGGGGGTACGATTTGTTACGGGCATAGGGTTCTGCATCTTGAGATATCACACAAGAGAGAGAGGGTACGTTTTGTTACGGGCATTGGGGTCTGCATCTTGTGATATCACACACGAGACAAGGGGGTACGATTTGTTACGGGCATTGGTTTCTATATCTTGTGATATCACACACGAGACACGGGGTGCGATTTGTTCCGGGCATTGGGTTCTGCATCTTGTGATATCATACACGAGACAGGGGGTACGATTTGATACGGGCATTGGGTTCTGCATCTTGAAATATCACACACGAGACAGGGGGTACGATTTGTTACGGACATTGGGTTCTGCATCTTGTGATATCACACACGAGACAGGGGGTACGATGTGCTACGGTTGGCTTCTGCATCTTGTGATATCATTCTCGAGACACGGGGTACGATTTCTTACGGGCATTGGGTTCTGCATCCTGTGATATCACACACGGGACTGGGGGCACGATTTGTTACTGGCATTAGGTTCTGCATCTTGTGATATCACGCACGAGACAAGGAGGTACGATTTCTTACGGGCAATGGGGTCTGCATCTTGTGATATCACTTACGAGACAGGGGGGTACGATTTGTTACGGGCATTGGGTTCTGCATCTTGTGATATCGCACACGAGACAGGGGACTTATTACGGGCATTGGGTTCTGCATCTTGTGATATCACACACGAGACAGGGGGTACGATTTGTTACGGTTATTGGGTTCTGCATCTTGTGATATCACACACGAGACAGGGGGTACGATTTGTTACGGGCATTGGGTTCTGCATTTTGTGTTATAACACACGAGACAGGGGGGGGCGAATTGAGACGTGCATTGCTATCTGCACCTTGTGATATCACACACGAGACAGGGGGTACAATTTGCTACGGTTGGGTTCTGCATCTTGTGATATCACACACGAGACACGGGGTTCGATTTGTTACGCGCGTTGGGTTCTGCATCTTGTGATATCACACACGACTCAGTTGGTACGATTTGATACGGGCAGTGGGGTCTGCATCTTGTGATATCACACAAGAGACAGGGGGTACGATTTGTTACGGGCATTGGGTTCTGCATCTTGTGATATCACGCACGAGACAGGGGGTACGATTTGTTACAGGCATTGGGTTTCGCATCTTGTGATATCACACACGAGACAGGGGGTTCGATTTGTTACGGGCATTGGGTTCTGCATCGTGTGATATCACATACGAGACAGGGGGTACGACTTGTTCCGGGCATTGGCGTCTGCATCTTGTGATATCACACACGAAACAGGGGGTACGATTTGTTACGGGCATTGGGTTCTGCATCTTGTCATTTCACGTACGAGACAGGGGTACGATTTGTTACGGGCATTGGGTTCTGCATCTTGTGATATCACACACGAGATAGGAAGTACGATTTGTTACCGGTGTTGGGTTCTGCATCTTGTGAAACCTCACACGAGACAGGGGGGTCTGATATCACACACGAGACACGGGGGTACGATTCGCTACGGTCATTAAGTTCTGCATCTTGTGATATCACACACGAGACAGGGGGTACGATTTGTTACGGGCATTGGGTTCTGCATCTTGTGATATCACACACGAGACAGGGGGTACGATTTGTTACGGGCATTGGTATCTGCACCTTGTGATATCACACACGAGACAGGGGGTACGATTTGCTACGGTTGGGTTCTGCATCTTGTGATATCACACACGAGACAGGGGGTACTATTTGTTACGGGCATTGGCATTTGCATCTTGTGACATCACTTACGAGACAGGGGGTACGATTTGTTACGGTTATTGGGTTCTGCATCTTGTGATATCACACACGAAACAGGGGGTTACGCCTTGTTACGGGCATTGGGTTCTGCATCTTGTGATATCACATACGAAACAGGGGGTTCGACTTGTTACGGGCATTGGGGTCTGCATCTTGTGATATCACACAAGAGACAGGGAGTACGGTTTGTTACGGGCATTGGGTTCTGCAAAATTCAATATCACACACGAGACCGGGGGTACGATTTGTTGCGGATATTGGGCTTCGCAACTGGTGATATCACGCACGAGACAGGGGTGCGATTTGTTACGGGCATTGGGTTGTGCATCTTGTGATATCACACCCGCGACAGGGGGTACGATTTGTTACGGGCATTGGGTTCTGCATCTTGTGATATCACATACCAAACAGGGGGTACGACTTGTCACGGGCATTGGGGTTTCCATCTTGTGATATCACACACGAGACAGGGGGTACGATTTGGTACGGGCATTGGGTTCTGCATCTTGTGATATCACACACGAGACAGGGGGTGCGATTTGCTACGGTTGGGTTCTGCATCTTGAAATAACATACTTGAGACACGAGGTACGATTTGTTACGGGCATTGGGTTCTGCATCTTGTGATATCACGCACAGACGGGGGGTACGTTTTGAAACGGGCATTGGGGTCTGCATCTTGTGATATCACACACGAAACAGGGGGTACGATTTGTTACGGGCATTGGGTTCTGCATCTTGTCATTTCACGTACGAGACAGGGAGTACGATTTGTTACGGGCATTGGGTTCTGCATCTTGTGATATCACATACGAGACAGCGGGTACGATTTATTACGGGCATTCGGTTCTGCATCTTGTGGTTTCACACACGAGACAGGGGGTACGATTTGTTACGAGCATTGGGTTCCGCATCGTTTAACATCACACACGAGGCAGGGGGTACGGTTTGTAACGGACATTGGGGTTTCCATCTTGTGATATCACACACGAGACAGGGGGTACGATTTGTTACGGGCATTGGTATCTGCATCTTGTGATATCACACACGAGACAGGGGGTGCGATTTGCTACGGGCATTGGGTTCTGCATCTTGTGATATCACATACGAAGTAGGGGGGTACATTTTGTCACGGACATTGGGTTCTGACTCTTGTGATATCACACACGAGACAGGGGGTACGATTTGTTACGGGCATTGGGTTCTGCATCGTGTGATATCACACACGAGGAAAGGGGGTACGATTTGTTCCGGGCATTGGGTTCTGCATCTTGTGATATCACACACGAGACAGGGAGTACGATTTGTTACGGGCATTGGAGTCTGCATCTTGTCATAACACACACGAAACAGGGGGTACGATTTGTTACGGGCATTGGTTTCTGCATCTTGTGCTCAAACACACGAGACAGGAGGTTCGATTTCTCACGGGCACTCGCTCACTCGCTCACTCACTCACTCACTCACTCTCTCTCTCTCTCTCTCTCTCTCTCGGGGGGGGGGGGGGGTTGTGTTCTGGAATTCCGGAGTTCAGGTTTAGGGGTCCGGGCCTTACCACCATGGGGTCGTTTCAGTGTTGCTTGGGCGCCGGCGATCTGCTTGTCGAC